ACCATCAAATTCTGCAGTGCTTTACAATGGGTGGACGAACAGACGTGTAGTTGTAACCAGACAAGTTGGACACACAGGAACAGAGGGGTTGAGGGCCCTGCTCAATGAGCTTTCATGCTAGAGGGAGTGGGGTAAAATGACTTCATTGTCATTTTAGCTACTTTCTCAACTAGTAGATTATCTAACTCTTCTATTTGTCCTGGTGGCCTATAAATCACACCTACATGATTTACTGTGTGATTACCAAATTCTAAAGTAACCTAAACTGACTTTGTGTTCGCCTCACGAACTTATATTAGGCTAGATTTTATGCTATCCTTCACATACAGGGCCAACCCTTCCCCTTTCGTCATCTGATTTTTTTTTTGTTTTTGTTTGCTATTTCTTAATGGAACAATATATTAATATATTAAGCATAATTGGCTAAAATGTAGCCAATTATACACCATTATTAATTTTCTACATGGTCAATTCAGTCACCAGACCTTTTATTTTTTTTCTGCCTATGATTTTAGGTACATTTAGCACTAGCACAGCTTGAAGAAGTGAACCATCCTAGTGTCAGGAGCCAGATACAATCATGCACATTGTAAACAGTTATCAATTACTTGTTACTGCAAGTAGTCAATGCAATATAATACTTTTTAATAGAATGGCCCTTAGTGAATAGCAGTTTTTGTCTCCAGGATGTTTTAATTTATTTTTTTATTTAAGAAGTGGTAAGAAGCACACATACAACAATATCAAAGCCATCCAATCACAGTACTCTGTGTCATTTTACACAGCGTGGGAAAGTTCAATTTTCCCACGCTGTGTAAAATGACAAAGAGCACTCTGATTGGCTTAAACCCACCAATCAGAGTGTTCTTAGCCTAATTGCAGGGCGTGGCAAGGCTTTATAAGCCTTCCCCCGCCCTGCAGAGCTCAGTCTGCGCGGAGCCCTCCATGGGTGAAGATGGATTATTTTTTTGCGCTCGGGTTTTTTCTTTTTCGTCAGGTTTTTTTTTGCGCTCAGGATTTTTATTTTATTTTCAATTCGACGGTTATGATGGTTTTTTATTTGGCCTTTTTTGGGGCTGAAAAAAGAAGATTTGAGAAAAAAGAAGACGTCGAATGGTAAGTTTACTTTTATTTTACAGGTTAGTTATTTTATTCCCCCCTCACTATTTTTTAGGGTGAGGGGGGTAGGTAGGGACTTTTTATTTGGGGGTGGGTGGGTGACTAGGGGCTTGGGGACCCCTAGTCACCTTGGGGGGGGGGAATTTACTTAGGGCCCCCACCCGCAGCCCAGGGGTGGGGGCCGGGGGGGAGGACAGTAGGTCCCCCCCTCATTATCTTTATGGCCCCCACCCGCGCCCAGGAGTGGGGGCCGGAGGGGGGGTGGACAGTAGGTCCCCCCCTCATTATCAATATGGCCCCCACCCGCCGCGCAGGGGTGGGGCCGGGGGGGGAAGTAGGTACCCCCCCTCATTATCAATATGGCCCCCCCACCTGCAGGGGTGGGGGCCGAGGGGGCAGTAGGTCTCCCCTCATTATCAATATGGCCCCCACCTGCCGCGCAGGGGTAGGGGCCAGCGGGGGCAGTAGGTCCCCCCCTCATTATCAATATTGCCCCCACCTGCCGTGCAGGGGTGAGGGGGGGACAATAGGTCCCCCCTTATTGTTCATTTTAGGGCCCCCACCCACCGCTCAAGGGTGGGGGCCGGGGGGGACAATAGGTCCCCCCCTTATTGTTATTTTTAGGGCCCCCACCCACCGCTCAGGGGTGGGGGCTGGGGGGAGGACAATAGGTCCCCCCCCTATTAGTATTTAGGGCCCCCACCGGGGACTTTAATGTGATTTATTACAAGTATATATGTATGATTTTTCCACTTGATATATTTAGCATGTGAAGCCCTTTTTGTACTTTAAGAGCACAGTTTTCATAAATAAAATGGCTCATAATATAGCACTATTGCGTTACTGAATTTTTCTTGATTTTTGTTTAGTAGTGTGTACTTTTAGAAGGGTAAGCATATTGACTGTCTATAAAAGCTTTAGGAATATATCAGATTTTAAGAAGTGATGTATAACAACTGAATTTTTGCACAATTTTCTTATCAAATAAGGAATTATGGCTAATCAAATACCAGAAATGCTCTTGCCCTCAACACACTGCAACACTAAAAGGACTTGGGCCAAGATTAGGAATATTTTAAGAAAGCAAATGCTTAAGATCTATGGATAGTGATGTCCCGAACAGTTCGCTGAACGGTTCGCGAACGGTTTGCCACGAACGGTTCACCACGAATGGTTCGCCACGGACTCATCATTGAGTAAACTTTGACCCTGTACCTCACAGTCAGCAGACACATTCCAGCCAATCAGCAGCAGACCCTCCCTCCCAGACCCTCCCACATCCTGGACAGCATCCATTTTACATTCATTGTGAAGCTGCATTCTTAGTAAGCTGTCCAGGAGGTGGGAGGGTCTGGGAGGGAGGGTCTGCTGCTGATTGGCTTGAATGTGTCTGCTGACTGTGAGGTACAGGGTCAAAGTTTACTCAATGATGAGTCCGCGGAGAACCGTTCGTGGCGAACCGTTCGCGAACCGTTCGGGACATCACTATCTATGGATCCTAAAACAGTGTGAGCATAGCAGCATTCATATAATAATAATAATAATAATAATAATAATAATGAAAGCATTAAAAAATGCAAAAAAATTATGTTGATAGGATCAGTAAAGTACAGCAAACAAACAATTATCTCTGTGAACATGTTGATACTAAATAACTCATTTTTACCTTAGAAGCATATTAAAATGGGATTATAGTATTTTACATTGAAGTATTTTCATTTTTAGAATCTACTTGGAAGTAAAAGACAATAAGAGACACTGTAACATAAGATATCAACATTCCATAGCCTACTAAAAAAGACTTATGTAACATCTAATAATAGCATTTCAGTTTTGTGATAAAACTTGTAAATTAGTCTTAGATCATGCCAAGGAAATCAGTACAGATACATATAGATACATATAGTATAGATGATCTGTAGAAATCTAGTTCATTTTCATCCCCTCAGTCAGTAAATAGATTTTAAATTAGAGGTTTTTCTTTGTAAAATAAGGTCTATGCACATTTGATTAGTATGATTAGCAGGTATTCACTTTAAGATCGAGTTAAAGGACCACTCTAGGTACCCAGACCACTTCAGCTTAATTAAGTGGTCTGGGTGCCAGGTCCAGCTAGGGTTAACCCAGTCTTTTATAAACATAGCAGTTTCAGAGAAACTATGTTTATGAATGGGTTAAGCCTTCCCCCAAAGTCTCTGGCGGCTGTCTCATTGACAGCCGCTAGAGGCGCTTGCGTGATTCTTACCGGTTGCATAATGCTTTCCTATGCAACCGGCTGAATGCGCGAGCAGCTCTTGCCGCACGTGTGCATTCAGCCGACGGGGAGGAACGGAGGAAGATCGGAGGAGGAGAGCTCCCCGCCCAGCGCTGGAAAAAGGTAAGTTTTTACCCTTTCCCCCTTCCAGAGCCGGGCGGGAGGGGGTCCCTGAGGGTGGGGGCTCCCTCAGGGCACTATAGTGCCAGGAAAACGAGTATGTTTTCCTGGCACTATAGTGGTCCTTTAAACCACGCTTTTCAAAGTTGGGCATTTTATTTTATATAAATTAGGTTATTGGATTATAGTATCCTGATTATACCAATTGTAAAAAGCTATCGTACACCTACTGCTATTTATTGATGGAATTGACTGAAACATATACCTTATAGGTAATATTGTTTTTATAACATTTTGAAACAATATACTTACAAAAAAATATTAAAACAATACTATATTGACAGGAATAGAAAGCTTTATTCGTGGCAGTATCCCTGCCTCCCCCCTCCTTTGCGCATTCTCCCCGCCACCCCATGAATAAAGGGTCAAAAACTTTTTTCTTTACTTACTGATCCCAGCGCCGATTTTCAGCTGCACTGTGTTGACGCTCCTCCCCCTCCAACGTGTGCTACAAGTGGCCGCTAATTGACTCGATGCTTTCCAATTGGGAAAAATCTGATGCTGGATGTCCTCATGCAGAGTGTGTCAGATACCGGACCAAAGCTCTGTTCAGATTCAGGAAGCCCCCCAGTGGCTGTCTGGTAGACAACCACTGGAGGCAGACTTAGTGCTGCAATGTAAATGTTGCAGCTTCTCTGGAACTGCAATGTTTAATATTGAAGCACTAAGGGCAAAGGGGACACTGCACCAAAACCACTTCAATGAGCTGAAGTGGTCTGGGTGCCTAAAGTGTCCCTTTAATAGACAAATAATGGTTTACATACAAATAAATACAATTATTTGAAATATACATATACAAAAAATGTATGGTAAAGGCCAGCCATCTGTAGCATAAATGTTTTACACGTGTAACATGCATGTATCCTACCAACACCAAGCTTAACAATTTCCCTAGTGTATCTTCTGATCTGATCAATCAGGTATGCAAACCCTCAGGGCATTCTACAATAGGAAGGGAGAATATGGCAATGGCAGTGAGGCTGGGCAAAGGAAGTGGCTTTGGGGAGATAAATGGGGTGGACAGTATTAACCAGGTAAGGCATGCAGCTGTGGGGATAGGACCTGAGGGAGAAGGGTGCCACATGCATCCAAATGCTTCTCATAGGAAAGGATTGAATTGAGATTTACTCGGTCAGTGCAGCAATAGCGCCTCTAGTGGCTGGAAGACACAATGTCAACATTACAGTTTCTACATTGCAGTGTTAAAAGGACAGGACTGCAGCACCAAGACAACTTCATTGAGGTATTACTTTAGTAAACCTGACAGTAAGCAAGTCTCCCCCCAGCTCATAGTGTTAAAACTAAATATTAAACATATTCGATGCCCTTTCTATTCATTTGTTTCTACCTCTAGCAGCACAATTCATTATCCTTCTCATGTATAACAAGCCCTGATTTGTAAATAATCGACCCCTGAAACAGAACTTTATTTTTTAATATTGAAAAGAAAATTGATCTAACTAAATCATGTTTTGTTTTGTTTTCTAGATCAATGGATCAGAAATTGAGTATGAATTTGAAGAGATTACATTGGAGAGGGTAAGTCCTATATACTTTTTTTTTTTTACCAACATGAAAAAAAAAGATGTCATATTAACTTTTATGTTAAGGCAAAGCTCAGAAATCTACAGGGTGTAAGGCAAGACATTTTTCTAAAGAAATACTGACACGTTTCTCTGTATCCGCACAACAACAATTAGCTGTGGTCTTCCCCGAATACCGCATTTGTTGGAGTTGTGTCTGAATGGGAATCTTATATGAGACAGGGTTAGGGAAGATAGTTGTGTAAGACCAGATGTCAGTTCCTATTTCGTGTATCAAGTGTTCACCCCCCACCTAACCTCCGAAATTGCATTAAAGAAACTGAACATTTTTTATACGTTAATATATATATATATTTTTTACATTTAATAAAAAAACAAAATGAAAAAATCTCCTTTATTTACACCCATTTATATCTGCTAGTCATTCTCCCATATGCTTTTATTTTGCACTTTGTACGAATCCTCTTTTTAGTTTGTGTATATGCTGTCGAACTCTGTATAGCATTTAATGCTCTCGCTTTCATGCTTACACTCCATTTAAAGATGTTTAATTATTGCCGCCTTCTCTCTCCTTTCATTGTTAACTCGGCATACCCTGTATGCTCTCTCCTGTAGGTCTTCTACTTTCTCTTATTATCTATCAACTCTGTGGAACTTTTATGCAAATTTCCTTCATGTCTCCATATATTTTTACTCTGTCTTCCTTATGCCCCTTTTCATTTCGTATTCCCATGTTTCCTGCTATTCTGTTATTCTTGTTGTCTAGACTTTTTCACAGTGAGAGATTTCAGTTCAGTCTAGTCATTTTTTTCGAGACCCCCCAATTGAATCAGGAGAACAAAGCAAAGAGACATTTATATGAGATATAGGAGAAGTTTTCCACCATTTGGTTCATAGATCAACTGAGAAAAAGTAGCCTACAGAAGGAAAAACAAGAGAAGAAATAAAATATTAAATATTTATGTATTAAATATTTATCATATAATGTATATATAGATTTTTTTTAATAGTTTTTTGCTCATTTGAACACTTCACAATTGATCTGTGAATAAATTCAACAGTTAATGACCGTCACCTAGCCATCAATCAACTTTTTTCTCCATCATTTTCTCTCTATTGTTGGTGCCATGGGTGGAATTCAGAGTATTGACCCCCCCAATATGTTTGGCATTCCTGGTTGATTTAGTCCTCAATCGGTTATATTTCAGCTTGGAATTTGGCCAAATGCCATAACAACTTAATTCAGCCAATGCAGTTTTGTCCAAAATCCGAGGTCCAAGTTCTCTAAAACCCCAAGTCCCTACCTTCCACAAGACTTTCTTGTAATTCCTTGTAAGCCTCAGATCCTCCTAAAAGATTTTGCTAAGATTGAGTTCTTTCCCTATGCTGCCCACCAAGTGACACATCTACCTTCAACTTTCTCTTGAGAACCCACATGTACAAACATCCCATGCCCTTTCAATAAGTGCCCTCAATAATTTTACGTTATTTAAGTTGGCTACTGGCTAGTAATTTAATATGGTCAAAGCATTTACTGCAGATGGCTTCTTTGGAATGTTAATAATTTTTTATAAGGCATGGCCAAGTTCTTGACACAACATCTATACACGTAGAATTATTATAATCCTACAGAGGCTTCAGAAATAAATTATCTGAGTTCTTGGAAACTTTGAATTATTCTCTGTGGGATTTCTGAATGGCAGAAAATCTATACATAGTCCTTCTGGATAAAATTATAATGTGCTTGATCTCTGGCTTAGATCTGATGCAACATCTATCATTCTGTTTAAAAGGAAATAGGAACAATTAATGGGCATAAAAAATGCAAAAATCAATTAGGAAATGTCATTTTGCACATACTTATTTACATAATAGATGACATAGCATGTTTTAAATAAAAAAAAAAAATATTAAAAAAATATTGAATTAAAAATTAACAGACTTTGTATAGACCTCTTTGGTAAGTTCCCCATGCAGGTTTATATTTATGTAAAATAATGTGTAAATTATAGCAGATACATTCAGTACAAAAGTAACAGAAAGCCGCCTAGTTATAATGTAAAAAAAAAAACTAGGTCTTGTTACTGATGTGAGCGAGGATTGGTCACTATGACAGGAGAACAGGTGAACCAGGGACCAGAAAGCAAGGCTATAGCAGAGGGAACAAGTGAGTTTTGAAACAGTGGGGAAGGATAGTATTTATAGTATTACAGTGAGCAAGGGGCTATATCAGAATCACAAAGTACAACGATTAGCAAAAAAACAAAGGTACAGAGAGTGAAAATGATGCAAGGAGAAGATTAAACGAACACTACAGGGTCAGGAACACAAAAATGTATTCCTGATTCTATAGTATTAAAACCACCAACTAGCCCCCTGCCCCCTCACCCCTCCTCCCCCTTGCCAATGTAAATATAGTAAAATCTTACATTTACTCCAGTCTGCTGCTGCTGGCTCTGCCCCTGATCTGCCTGTTTGGCTGACATCATCAGAAGTGTTGATCAAAAGCCAATCAAAATGCTTTCCCTTAGGATTGGCTGATCTTTTCAATGAGTGAGTTCAGTTGTAGAGTTAGCACAAGCCAAACACAGCCCTGCCCAGTCAACAATTCCTCACAGAGATACATTGAATCAATGCATCTCTATAAGGAAAGCTCAGTGTCTCCATGCAGAGGGTAGAGACACTGAATGTCAGTCACACTGTGCAGCACTGCCCCAAGAAGCACCTCTGGTAGCCATATGAGGAGTGGCCAGTGGAGGTATCCCTAGGCTGTAATGTAAGCACTGCATTTTCTCTGAAAAGACAAAGTTTACAGCAAAAAGCCTGAAGGGAATGAGTCTGTAGTTGTTCTGGTGACTATAGTGCATTTCTTGAATGCTAAGAATTAAATGCTTAGAAGTGAGAATATATTTCTAATAATTGCAAAGAGTCAAATTCACTTACTAAAGTTTTGTGAGAATTTTTTTTTGCTCCAATATAAACCTGCCCTTTAGATGCATAAATTCATAAGGGAGGAGAACATTGGTTGCAGCAGACATTAGAAAGCTACTATTTAGCTATAATAGAAAAAAACACAGCAATTTACTTGTATGTTCCATGATATTGAAATTTTCATTTTAGTGATTGGTTTCCACAATCAATTGCTTCATAAATCTGTAACTAATTAATATATAACAAATTCTTGGAGTAAGTGACTCTGCGTTAAAGTCATGTAACTGGTGTGACTTGGAGTCCGTTAATTGGCCATTCAGTCTTAAAATAGAAACCCACACATTCACAAAAATAAATCTCAACAGAAAAAAAAGCATCTATGTAATGTAACTGACAGAGATCAATGGAACAGCCAACACGTTCATGTTGGTTCTAATAAAGCTTAACCATTTTTGAATACTATGCCGATGTTGACATTTTCGGCAGAAGCCTGCTTTTGTATGTATTTGGTACAAACTCTCTGGAATTATTACTTAACTGATGTTCTTTCTTTTCTACTGTAAACGTGAAATAAACAAGTAAAAAAGATACGGTACTTCTATAAATACAAATAAAATACAAAAACACCAATGTCCTAATGGCATGCAAGTAATTATTAAACACAGTCTTGCTGTACAAGACTCATTAGGGTAACATACAGTATTAAATCAAATGTAACTAATTCACAGGAGGGTTGTGAATGCTCGGGGTATGTTTTGTGCAGAATCATAAAAAATGCCCAGAAGCATTACATACTTTTACTCTCGCATAAAATAACACCATGATAATCTAATTCATAATTCATGTACAACATCTTGCTCTCATTATATGGTTTTAAATATTTACATTTATATGTTCTCCTGTCTTTATTGCCCTTAAAGGATGAATGTTATTAAGGTTGCATTTATTCCAGACATTCACATCTGTTCAGCTAGTGCTAACAAATATAATGCATATGTGAGTCTAATGAAACAATTGTGCAGTCTTAATTAGCAATATAACTGCGGCACTAGTATACACTGTAATGATTTAAAGGGACTGTTGTTGAGATATATCTTTTTTTTTAACTATTGGGTGAAAAAAAATCACATATTCTGCTTGGTGAACGTGTAGTGGTTTGTAAAGTGTGCATTCCTAGGTTGTCCCAAATTAACATGGGTATTTTTTGTAATGTAATTTATTCTTGACCTTTACATAAAATTATATCTGCATATTATTAGAAGACACGTTGCAAAAACATATATAGAAGTAAATTTAAAAATGCATTTGCGTTAAACATTAAACTGAGTTTTTTTTTATTTGTTTCATATGAATATTCATAAAGTTTAAATTTATGTTAGAAAAGAGCAATTGGTTTTGGACTGCTATTACAGCTGTCAAAGTGGAAAAACTAATGAATAGATGAAATCTAAACCTTCACTTTTATTAATTCAATTGAAACGGGTAAATTATATTTCATAACTAAATTTTAACACAAAAAGATAATAGTAGTTTTACTAACGATATTGTCAAAATCCAAGATAGTAGGGCTCCTGCTCGCAGTTACTAATGTGAAAAGAATACTAACTGGACTTATACCCCTCGAGGACTCAAAGTACACACTGTCTACATGAGTGCTGCAGATTTTAAATCTGCCCCCTTGTGGCTCTAATGAGGTCTGAAGTAATTAGCCAATTAAAATAGACAGCTGTAGTCAGTGGCGTACACATGACCCATGGGGCCCCGGTGCGAAAATTGATCCGTGGGCCCCCCCCCCTCCCCCCGCGCGCGCGGGCCGGGCCGCAACACATGGCGGTGGGCACCTGGTCGCAGGGGTTTCAGGGGTGCGACCGCGGTATGTACGCCAGTGCATGCAGATGCACACACACTTAAAGGACCACTCTAGGCACCCAGACCACTTCAGCTTAATGAAGTGGTCTGGGTGCCTGGTCCAGCTAGGGTTAACCCATTTTTTCATAAACATAGCAGTTTCAGAGAAACTGCTATGTTTATGAATGGGTTAAGTCTTCCCCTATTTCCTCTAGCGGCTGTCTCATTGACAGCCGCTAGAGGCGCTTGCGTGCTTCTCACTGTGATTTTCACAGTGAGAGCACGCCAGCGTCCATAGGAAAGCATTATGAATGCTTTCCTATGTGACCGGCTGAATGCGCGCGCAGCTCTTGCCGCACGTGCGCATTCAGCCGACGGGAGGAGAAGAGGAGGATCGGAGGAGGAGAGCTCTCCGCCCAGCGCTGGAAAAAGGTAAGTTTTACCCCTTTCCAGAGCCGGGCGGGAGGGGGTCCTTGAGGGTGGGGGCACCCTCAGGGCACTATAGTGCCAGGAAAACGAGTATGTTTTCCTGGCACTATAGTGGTCCTTTAAAGGACCACTACAGACACCCAGATCACATCAGCTCAATGAAGTTGTCTGGGTGTCAGGTCCTTCTAGTTTTAACCCTGCAGCTGAAAACATAGCAGTTTCAGAGAAACTGCTATGTTTCACTGAGGGTTAATCCAGCCTCTAGTGGCTGTCTCACTGACAGCCGCTAGAGGAGCACACTGAACGTCCATAGGAAAGCATTGAGTAATGCTTTCCCATGGGCGGTTTGAATGCGTGCGCGGTCTCATTTGGAGCTGAGAGGCTGAGGGATCCTCAGCGCCAAGGGAGTCCGGCGCTGGAGAAAGGTAAGTGCTGAAGACACACACACACACACACACACACACACTTACAGACGCATACACACTAGCTAACAGACACACGCATTTACTGACAGAGACACAGTCAGCGACAGACTTTCATACATACACACTCACTTACAAAACATACACTCTCATTGACAAACACACACTCAGTAAGACACACACAGTAACACTCACTGACACTCACTAGCAGACACACACACTAACACTCACTAGCAGACACACTAACACACACTCTCACTCTAACACTCTCACACTCTAACACTCACTCTAACACTCACTCTAACACTCACACATGATTTTTTTTTTTAAATTTAATCCCCCCAGCCTCCTTACCTTTTGGAGTGCTGGGGGGATTCCCTGGGGTCCAGTGGTGCTGCTGGGCTCCTGGGCTGGTGGCCGGTCGGGCAGGCAGGCGGGCGCGCGAGGGAGCACTTTCCCCTGAGTGCTTCCTCTTCAGCTCCCTCGCGCGTAGGGATGCCGGAGCGGAAGATGGCGTCATCTTCCGGCTCGGTATCATGGGTGCGCGAGGGAGCTGAAGAGGAAGCACTGAGTGCTCCCTCGCGCGCCCGCCTGCCCGACCGGCCACCCGGGGTCAGCAGGGCCAGCCTCGGGGGGCCCTGGCGTGGCCGCCTCCTGGGCCCCCCAGGGGAAGAGGTTGGCCCACTGTGTACATACCGGGTCGCAGTGGCGGCCGGGCCCCCTGGTGGGCCGGGCCCGGTCGCAGCCGCGACCCCTGCGACCCTGGTATGTACGCCACTGGCTGTAGTATATATGAACGGACACAAGGCGAGACAGCCAAAGTCCATTTGCAGCTGTAGAGACAAAAATGTAGGAGTTTACATATATATCAAAAGCTGTAGATTAAACTAAACGTAAATTGTCCATCAAAGTGAAAGTCACACTAAATCCATGGATTCCGGACATTCTGAATCTCAGTAGGATTCGGAATGTCCGGAATCCAGTTTAGGATAGTTCTATCTCCAGCATCAATCTCTAGTTTGTTAGGTGAAGACAGAGGGAAAAGGGGGAATGAATCCGTAAGAATAAAATGAAGACCTCTCTAAATTAGCGATCACTTCTTTGCCATGCACTTCTATGCAATTTAGCAATCTCTTGTTTGTCCTGCAATCTCTTTGCAGCATTGGGAAGAGGCCACCATGAGCTGACACAGACACAAGTTGTTCACAGTGATTTCTCCAAAATGTATTGCATATCACAGTCTATATTGTGTTCTTTTACAAGGCGTGCTTTTATTCTTTATCCAATCACATAGTCACACCTGATCTTAATGTATAGCGAGGGTTTCGAAAGGTGGGTGAGGAGTTTGGACTTTCCTGCTGTTACTGGGCAGATCAGCAGTAAGGATTTAATTAGGACTTTACTGCTGCTACAGTTATATGCAAACATCAGTAAGGGGGTAGGAGGTGTAAAGTCCAAGCTTGCAAGCAACCAGAAAACTTACTATGCTAAAACTTTGAAACATATTCTAGGGGTTTATTCACTAACATATTAAAAATCAAAAAGAAAAAAACTAATTACAGTCCATCAATTCCCTCCTTTTTTCACATCATGAACAGCATTAGGACAATAAAATACCTGGGCATTTTGCCATACCTCCAAAATTATATGGCTTGCCCAGTAATTTGGAGTCAGAAAAAAAAAAAACTACATGACTATACGAGCAGCTGAGATCTTATGAGTAGGTATAGATGTTGCCCATCAAAATCTAAGGTTTTTACCTTTCTCATAATAGCAGTACACAAACTCTTAAATACAGAGATAAAGACATACAGCACAAGCAAGCAAACCACAACTACTTTAGCACCTATAAATATCTTCCTTCCGAGGGAACCTATCCATCCTCCTAAGCAAAAAGTCAAGTCAACCCCATCAAAGAATCCCTCATCTTGTTTTATGTCTGCCACCTTTTGTCATTTAGGTATTTATGAATGGGGTTTGAACAATAAGATTAAAATAGCACCTCTATTTGAAATTTCACCCCATTATTATTCTCCTCAACAGTCCTCTTAACCAAAAAAGATTAGGTGTACACTCAGTATTGGAAATTAATGATAAAAACCACCACTGGTGTGCATATGGAGCGCTTACAGATTTGTTGACTCACCCATATGGGTTAACATACATATGTATGGATCCTCTTAACTAGTCACATATTCCAAAGGTTCAATCAAATCCATCAAAAAGATGCAGCCAGGTGGGAGGTGATTGAGGCTGCCTATTAAATATTTTCTTTCTACAGTCAGCACACATCAAAACACACGTTCTACATCCATGCTACATCCCAAAAAATGTTACCTAGTTCAGAAAAAGGAAAAATAAGTATTTCCAAAAAAATATAAAAAAATTAAAATCATTTTGTACAATATAAGTTGTATTCGATAAAATGGCTAATAGCAGTGTGTCGGCTGACAGTAAGGCAATGTAAGGTTTCACATAGTTATTAGTACTCCGATTTATTGCTGAATTTTCATTACAATGCTCTTGCACCACCCCAGATGTCGAGAGGGGCATTAGACAGCACTTCACTTCCAGGTACTTGTGTGCAAAGCTCATGTCCTCATAAATACAAATCTCAGTTTCTTCGACCTGTATGTGTTTTGGTCGAAGAGACACCATTGCAAAATAGTCAATAGAGGGTTAGGTGATTGGTGAGCAGTTCCCAAGGATCAGGTAGCACAAACACTCCAAAATGGTCTCCACAATCATAAAAACATGCATCAATACGACAAGAACATAAAAACATCTAAATATAAAAATATTAAAACTTTCTCTACATTATTAAACTGTTTAAAAATTCACTCGAAATTACCAGATCCTTCCTTAATTACTTTGAATCCTCAGTACTGGGTTCTTCAGATAATAATTACCCTCTTCTTACAAAAACCTAACTTCTGACTATTCCATAGTGATAAACTTTGCTAGGAAGAGATTACCTAAACACACTCCTTTTTTAAAATGAGAGTATTATTTATTTATATCCTTTTTTGGGTAATTTTGTTGAAACATCTCCTAATAAGATCTTCCAGCAAAATGCTTTTACTTTACCAATATAATACATTAATTTCACAGATTACAATTGAGTAACTTCAGTATAATTCTTTTTTTATATTAAAACTACTATTTCACCACTGCCCTTTGATCAATGAGGTACACTTGATGAACCTTACTTTTTGATAAATCCATCATACTACCTGTGGTGTATTACCAAACTCTATAAATTATTATGTACGCATACACATATAAACTCTGGTCCGTCTACTTTAACAAATATTTATTCAGAGACAAAACAACAACAACATACAAATAATGACACACAATCTAACTAACTATACCACCAACAACAGCAACAACAACCTAACTAACAATAACAACTACATCTTATAAAATCCCACTCACAGTTCACCATGATAGAAATAAGGCCATGTCTGCTTAAAGGACTGCTCAGTAGCACAGCCAAGAAGGAACAGGGAGGAATGGAGATAGGGGGAAGTGGTTATCTCTTTCCTGACTAGTAAAGGTATTGAATTACCAATTAACATTTCAAAAGGGTAAAGCTTATCCCACTGTAAGAGCTTGGTCACATGATCCCAGGTCACCATATTAGTTTGATGACAGAATGTCACCACACTACCCATCCCCCTTTTTTCTTTTTTGCCATCCACATATTGAAATGGGGTGGAGCCAAACAGGGAGCCCATAACTCCAGGGTGCCATAACTGGGCTATTATATGACAGTATATATAAGTCTGTGGCTGATTCATAACATTATTATGTATAACCTAAGAGGACAGGGCTATTAATTTGCTTTTGACACCTGTGTGTCAAGTAGTATAAAGGTGTTTTTGATAAATAAACATAAACTGACAAAAAAAAACTTTTGGGACAATTAATAAGGTTATCAGGATAGTTTGATATTAAAAATGCAGTACTGATAATGAAATACAATAAGAAGTCTTGTACAAAATAATACTCCCCTAATCTAGCACATGGGTCGGACAAGGTACTGAATCAAGATTTGACTAGTATCATTTTGTGGGGCCCCCTTCACGTAAGATGTAACAAAAAACATAGTAGATACATAAAATGGATACAAATCGGGGGCGGAGCCTGACCTTCAAGCAAGCCAGACGTGAAACGCTGGAGCTCCTGCACTATTAATCAATAAAGGGTTATTACACCTGATTTACTATCTACCGCAACCAAATCTAAATGCTACTGAAAGCAGGGGACCCCCGGGCAAGCTGTCTGCCACTTCAAACGAGGACTTGTCATTTGTGGCCTGCTGGGAGTCCTGTTGTGGCCTGCTGGTAACGGAGCGGGGGAGAAACAGCCGATCTTCCTGCACTCTGGTTCTGGACTGGGTTCGATGGCACCCCTATCCCCCCACCCCCCTTTGGACCGGTGGGGGATATCCCGGTTCCCTCGGAGCTGATTAAGCACATCCACAGATGCCCACCAAAAAGAGAATGTTGCAGTGACAAGTTATCTGGGATCTCAAAATGGCGGACTCCCTCCATTTGGACTCGAACATCGCAAGTTCCACAAAGGGGGTGTGACGAGAGCAATCTCGCCACATTGCATTGGAGAAGCCTGGCTGCCCGCCTGCTGCCTTTGGACTATGGACCAGACTTTATGTGAATGTGTTAACCCAGATAGCTATGCCATGGAGCCCATTCATGTAGTTAAAGACTTCGGCTCCATGGCAATTGAACTGTGTGAATAGGATCTGAGCGCTATTCGGTAGTTTTGTGCGCTCAGATCCCAGCTATCTGGGGATATGTGAAATGTCTGTGTGTTATGTGTAAAAGGTGACTTTATGTATTTTAAAGTGTTTTACTGTCTTTGTGTCCCATGTGCTCAATGGAGTCTGCCTCTATCCCTGGATAATTGGATTACTTTCCCCATTGTCCAGGATAGAGGGCTCTGTAAAACCTGTTTGAGCCAGATAGCCATGCTGCCAGCCAGGGCCCAAAAGATACTTTTACTAACTTTTGAACCCCTGGTCTGATTCATGCCATTTTTTTATATGTTGTTCCCCTGAATGGATTGATTGTGAATATGTAATTTTATGTGAATGTGATGTATGGTTTTAGAGTTATGAAAGTTGGGTAGAAAGTATGTTTTAACTGTATGTGTAATTGAGTTTCCTCTCAGGATAAGGGGAGGGAATATGTGGGATGTAACTGTGATGTGATTGGTTGTTTTATACCTCCCTGTGGGCGGTCCTGTATTTGCAAGACTGTAATAAAAACCAGGCTGGGTGTGCCAGCACCTCAGACCACTGCTTGACCCTCAACACGGAGCCTTGTCTCGTTCTTGGGGGGATTCACTGTATGCTGTTAGAGACTGATTGCCAGGAGTGTAAACTGATTGTCTGCTTTTCCTGTTCGTCTGCTAGCAGCTATTTGTGAGGTTCCAGTTCGGGAGTTGGAGTGCTATTTTGTATCCAGTTCGGGAGTTTGGTGTTCTGCAGTAGCTGTGCCTGTATCTCTGGAAAGGGGGCCGATCGCCTAAACGGTTTTTACCCCTTGTGAGCAAAACGGTCCGTTACAGGGGGTTTCCCGCGACTTTGTAGCTGAAGCCATGACACGGCTCGGCCAGATCTTTCAACCCTTTGGCTTAAACTCCAGCAATGCCTTGCAGCTGAGCCCAGGCAGAGAGTGAGGAGAGGCAGGCAACCGGGGGCACAGGGGCCTACTCAGGGCACATCTACAGTGAAGCAACATGTGCACCCAAACATAAGCCCACCCAGGCTGAGAGCCACACAGGGCACGCAAGCCCTACATCGCCCACAAGGACAGAAGAATAACCACACACAGTGGCGAACAACATCTACATCCTCCGATCACCCTAAGAAAGGGTCAGGCTCGGACTGTACCCACACAGAATGCGACTCTCATCCAGACCTGGGGCTGGAGAGGCACCCGAACCTGGAGTGAAGTCACCCCTGGCCGTGCAGCAATTATGCCACTTACTGGTATCGCCTGAGGCTCAGCGGCAGTAACTTAGAGACACTGGTCACGAACACCCTTACGAGCACTGTGTTTCTAAATTTACTTCATGATGTCACTGCAATTTTTCGTTCCTTTTTCTTTTCTTGTCCTTGTAAGGTGGAATAGTAGCCAAGTTATATAACCGAGATTAAAAATGTATCTTACTGAACAAGACCATGCTAAGTGCTGAACGCTATTCGGCATAACCTTTTGTGCTTATACACTCTTAGATGTAGAGATGAACCTTGTCCATAGTCAAGTTAAGCATGTATAAGGCTCTAATTTGTACCAGACGTTTAAATACTAGTGAGATTCACACTACCTATGATAAACTACGTTTAAACAAATCGCAATAACAAATTCTTGATTGACACAACTATACCTAAGGTCAAGCAAAGTTCAGAGTGTTTCTTGTATTTACTCATGTTTCTTACAATATAAAAATTGTGCATGTTCACTCTACTACCCCAAATGTAACACTTGTAATGGGGCCAGGGGATTGTCGTTGGGGTACCTCAGGCCTGTATGTAACTATCCTATGCACTGCAAAAAAAATTTTTTTTTAAAAATGGATACAGATCAAAGGTGACAAGCAAACACATTCATTGATGTACAAACAAACCACAGCTAATCCAAAATAAGCTAATAAAAAAAGCAAATACATTTCACACTCTGTGTCCTTTAGAGTAAAAAAAATGGAACGTTACAATAAGACCGCCAAGATTTCTCCTGCACCTCCTCTGTGTAACTCCCTTCCCTTCTCCGGAAGACTTTCACCCAGTCTCCACTCATTCAAAAAATCATTGAAAACTCACTTCTTCCATAAAGCGTATCAATTAAACTGTTAGCGGGTTTTTATTCCCCCACCCCCATGACTCCTCTCCTGCAAGTGTCAAAAATTACCTACGAAGGCCTCAGTGAATACTTTTCTAACAACCTACTTCATACCCCTACTTTAGCCTTTGTGTCACTATACCCCACTCCCTCTAGAATGTACGCTCATTGAGCAGGGCCCTCCACCCCTCTGTTCCTGTACATCCAGTTGTCTGGTTACAATTACATGTCTGTTAGTCCACCCATTGTACAGCGCTACGGAATCTGATGGCACTATATAAATAATAAAATAATAATAATAATAAGACAACATTTAAGTTTTAATGCTATGGGCATATTATTTTTAAATGTTTTATTATTTTTACAAAAGGTACTTAGTATAGATTAATCAAACTGCAGAGGAACAAGAAACTAAAAAAGGTAGGAAATCTGATATTGGTACCACACTGTAGATTAGACCACAGAGCTGTTAGAATGACTTCAACTCCTATTGCTCTGAGCAACAGTTATTAATAGGTTATTAGGCTTGGATTTTCGATCTATAGATTTGGAACAAATGAATTCAAATGTTTTTAAAACACAGTAGCAAGAATATTCCTCAGCAAATGTTCTATTTTCCAGTTAAACTGTACACTTCATAATGGTATCTAAACCACACTCATTAACACAGTCACCGTTACACACAGCATGGGTAGCGACTTGTAAGGCTTTATGTGAACTCTCATTTATTTTTATATATGCCGGTCACTCTGGTAACGGAAAATCCATCAAAAATAATATATATATATTTTTTTTTTTCTTACACTAGTCAAGCTTGAGATGTTAAAATCTTGACTATAAATTTAGATTATTGCAATTATGTTAGCCAATGTTAACAATATTCATATTAAATAAATAGGACCAGATGACACAGAACTGATTTCAACTGAGTTCATCTCCACTCCTAGACATTCAACATTTTTTTTACACTAGTGCGATTTTAGAACATATGGCGAAGGTTTGAATTGAACGGTCAGGTTGAATGTCCAAGGGCTATACAATAGTCTGTGATTTTCTGATCCAGCCCCTGAGACCAAAACCTTAAACCCAACACACATTGAGTCTACAGTTATAAGGAATAAAAATCTCAGCATCCCCTTAAACCAATTTCACCCAGTTCACAGTGTAAAAGAACATATAATCAAAAACACTCAGTGGTACCCCTTTTTCAGTGGTACTAAGTGGTACCCCTTTATCAACCCAGGGTGTTTTTTTTTTCTCTTTCTAAAGATGAAAATACTAGTGGGCCTTAATGACCACCCTATCTTCTACCAACATATCTGGCATTTATTGCACCTTGGTAGAATTGTGCCACTTCTCCATTTCATGCCCTTAAGTTCAAAAACTTTCTTCCATCTTCCTCCTGCTGTCCCAGGAAGGGAGGGGGGAAAGGGTGACATATCAACAGTCATATTATACATTATATTTTGGGGAAGATACGGTCAACTAGGCTCAGGGATTACATCAACAACTTATGATTAATCTTGTAAATATTCTTAGAACTATCTTGCACCATAGTTCACAACTAACAAGGGAACTATCAGCTTCATCCGAGTCATAATAGCAAATGTGAAGAGAAGGTAAATAATTGTATTTGTAACCAAACCTAAAAGCAATTCTTCCATATTTAGGCCCCCAATTTATGTTGCAAAAAACATTCTTATCTATTGACATTGTGAAGACTACTGATAAGTGTGTGTTAGAAAATTATGTGACTGCCATGACTATATCTTCACTTTTCATTCTCCTCTTTATTGATGACTGGAGATGGAGCAGAACATGGCATCTCATGGCGATAAATGGGTAGAGCCCAACAAGTCAGAGGGCAGTGCCCCACAATCTTTAATCTTAAGTAGCCATCACTGCAGATACACAGGGAAGTGCTTCAACCAAGTATTGTGAATTCCAATTCATAGAAAACAGAGCATTTATGAGTAAATCTAGTGGTAAGTCCTAATTTACAAGAAGAGGCTGGATCTACATTCATGACCCTACCATGACCAAATGTTTTCATGATGATTGCTTCACATGACTTATGTAAACATGACTTATGTAAACATAAACAAGCACAAAGTTATCTGTGAATCCAGCCCAACATATAACAAACTATTATTATTTGAGAGTATATTACTTCGTAAGGAACAAAGCACTGGGTGACACTAAAATGATGTATTTTCCCCCTTGTTCTGTGTGCAGTGAGCGGAGAGTTAGAGTGTATCTCATAACGTTAGACAGGGCAGGTAATTGTGAAAATATAAGGCAATCACACTTCTCTGCAATGGAACGGTTAGGAAGATAAAATATGTAATATTGCAATTCCGATTATTAAATCCCTGATGTCCGATCGTTCATACGGCTCCATAAACCTGACTGAAAAGAAAGCTTTGTTATAGCTACTCCTGCAAAGAGCACCTGTACCAATTAAACATTATGCTAGTATATATACGCTGTCGGTAGCGTATTACCAGACACATATTATTTATCTAGAATCTATCACATTGCAACAGTAATGTACAAATTGTCATGCAGCCAATAACAGGAGACACTCGAGTTGCCATGTCACCATGTATAAGACATTAACCCATAACTGACAATGAGGGAACTGCTACAGGTGTAATATAAATATAACGTGTATGAGTTCAGCTATTTACAGCAAAAATAAGGATATTCCCAGAAATATGTAGTCATAAGTGCATATTTTACTAAAATGGAACGAAAAGAATAGCATGACTACATATAGCTTAATACTGTTTTTTAAATTGTAAAATGCAAAGGAGATTAGAGACTCCCAGTTCTTCATCTGAAATAATTTGAATAGCGTTTAGCGTACTGAACAGATAAACAATTTGTAACTGTACCATCCTATGTGATCTAGGGTGGATGATAGTACATTAAGGTTCTATTGAATATGGTTCACAAAGGAAATTCGCTATCAAGGGATCAGCAATCATCACTACAGCTTGCACTAAATGCAGAGTGATATAGTTTATAATAAAGTAATGCTAGAGAGATAATAACCGTGTCATATTGTAAAATCCTTTAAGATACAATTGTCAGTCTGAAAGACATCGGCTGACATGTTTAATCTAAAGCAGTGTTAAGATATGGCAGCAAAGGTTCCAAGGGGAATCATATTCAAATAAAAGACATGACATATGTATAAAAGGGCAAATTAACTAGTAAAGCTAACCTTTATGGAAGTACATAAAATTAAATCCTTGATTAATGTCATCAGTTTATGGAATCAAATAGAGTCCCTGTGGCATTAGATTTGTCAACATTGCTTATTCTAAGTGAAACCATTTGATGATTTGGAAAATAAAGACATTAGGTATGTTAATGTGGCACAAAAACAAATTAAACAGTCAGTACCATAATAAGTTTCTAATGTGTCTATATATACACATTAGATAGTATGTGAATAGGGTTTTGATGTGAAGTTTCTTAAAACATCTTTGATGTACCCAGTGGGCCTACTGGTGGCTAAATATACAGTTTTGCTCAAAGGTTTGCCTACCCTTGGAGAATTGGTAATATATGTACCATTTTTAACGAAAACATGAGTGAGCAGGCAAAACACATTTCTTTTATTTCTTATGGGATTCATATTAATCTGTAAGTTATAGCAGAATGACACAATCAGAAAACAAAACATGGCAACAAAGAAAAAATGGTATGACCCCTATTCAAAAGTCTGCATACCCTTAGTTCATAATACTTTGTATTGCCGCCTTTAGCATTAATGACAATGTGCAGTCTTTTGTAATAGTTGTCTATGAGTCCCCTAATTCTTGCAGGTGGTATAGCTGCCCATTCGTCTTGGCAAAATGCCTCCAGGTCATGCAAAGACTTTGGTCGTCTTGCAAGAACCGCACATTTGTGATCTCCCCAGAGTGGCTTCATGATAGTAAGGTCAGGAGACTGATGGCCACTGCAGAACCTTCACCTTTTTCTGCTGTAACTACTGGAGGATCAACTTGGCCTTGTGCTTATGGTCATTGTTATGCTGGAAAGTCCAAGAGCATCCCATGTGCATCCTTAATGCAGAAGAATGCCAACTTTCTGCCAAGATTTTCTGATAGTATGCTGCATTCATCTTGCCATCAAATTTCACAAGATTCCCTGTGTCTTTAGAGCTCACACACACCAAAAACATCAGTGAGCAACCACCATGCTTCACAGTGGGGATGGTATTCTTTTCACTATAGGCCTTGTTGACCACTCTCCAAACATAGCACTTATGGTTATGACCATAAAGCTCTATTTTGGTCTCGTCACTACACATTACCATGTTCCAGAAGCTGTGAGGCATGTCAAGGTGTTGTTGGGCATATTGTAACTGGGCTTTTTTTGTGGCATTGGGGCTGTGATGAGACCAATCTTGCCACTGTGCATTGGAGGAGCCTGGTTGCCCGCCTGCTGCCTTTAGACTATGGCCCCATGTTGAAAAGCTTAATTTTCCCCTGCGGAGACACGAAAGCCGGGGTCATTTGGTGCTGGCCCTGTTTGAGCAGTGATACCCCAGATAGCTATGCCATGGAGCCCGTTCGTATGATGAAAGACTATGGGAAAGACTTTGGCTCCGTGGCAGTTGAACTGTATGTTTGTGCTCTGAGCGCCATTCAGTAATAATGTGCGCTCAGATCTGAGCTATCTGGGGATATGTTGAATGTAACTGTTTTATGCAATGGCTGCACAGTTATCTGTTTTTATGTATTTTATTGTCTTTTGCTGCCATGTGTTCAATTGAGTTTTGCCTCTGTCCTTGGAGATAATTGGATTACTTCCCAATTATCTCCAGGATAGAAGACTCTGTGGAACTGGTTTTGGGCAGAAAAGTCATGCTTCCTTTGGTCACAAAGGACTACGATCTATCTTTTGAACCACTGGACCAATTTGGATGATTTTGACATATGTTTGTATTTGGAGTATGCTGATTTTATGTGAATGTGATGCATACTTTTCAAGATATGAATAATGTGGAAAATTGTATTTCTCTGCTTGTGATAATTACATTACCCATTGTGTAAGATAATTGTATCACAGACAGAGGGGAGGATTTTGTATGGGAGTGTCTGAGTGTATTGTGTGTGTTTATTGGTTGTGTTCCAAAACCCTGTAGGTGGTACTAATGTGTATATAAGAACAATAAACCCACAGCTCTGTCTATTCCTACTTAACCTTCAAAACAGAGCCTTGTCTCGTTCTTGAGGGGATTTATTGTATGCTGTTCCAGCTTGACTGCTAGGAGTGTAAACCTATTCACATGGTTTTTCCTATTCGGCTGTTTATAGCATTCGTATGGTTCCAGTTCAGCTGTTTACGTCATTCACATGCTTCTCCGGTTCGGTGGATTGGTGTCTACAGTAACTGTGTCTGTGTCTCTGGAAGGGGAAGATCTTCTAAACAGCGGTTTAACCCTTTTATGCTGAGGGTGCCGTTACAGGGGCAGTAACAGCTTCTTTCTGGCAACTTGACCATGCAGCTCATTTTTGTTCAAGTATCATCGTATTGTGCTCCTTGAAACAACCACACTATCTTTTTCCAGAGAAGCCTGTATTTCTCCTGAGGCTACCTGTGTGTATCCCGAACAATTCTTCTGGCAGTTGTGGCTGACATCTTTCTTGGTCTACCTTACCTTGGCTTGGTATCAAGAGACTCACGAATTTTCCACTTCTTAATAAATGATTGAACAGTACTGACTGGCATTTTTAAGGCTCTGGATATATTTTTATTTCCTTTTCCATATTTATATTTTTATATCCTTTTCCATCTCTATAAAGTTCCATTACCTTGTTGTGCAGGTCATTTGTCAGCTCATTTCTGCTCCCCATGGCTCAGTATCAAGCCTGCTCAGTACATCCACGTGAGAGCTAACAAACTCATTGACTATTTATACACAGACACTAATTGCAATTTAAAAAGCCAAAGGTGTGAGAAATTAACCTTTAATTGCCATTTTAACCTGTGTTTATCACCTTGTGTGTCTGTAGCAAAGCCTAACATTCAAGGGTATGTAAACTTTTGATCAGGGCCATTTGGGTGATTTCAGTGATTTCTGATTTCATTCTGATTTTAAAAAGAGCCACACAACTATGTGATAATAAATGGCAATTAAATTAAATGGCAATTATATTGCAAAAAAATGGCAATGAAATTTAATTTAACTATGTGATAATAAATGGCTTAATATAATCACTATCGTTCAATAAAATAAATTTTTTAGCATGATCAGTCATATTTTCTAAATCAATGCCAACATTTCACAATTTCTGCAAGGGTATGCAAACTTTTGAGTACAACTGTATATTGATCCTTACTATATATATATATTTGTGGTCGGGGACCACAAGCCAAGTTATGTTAGGGGTGCCTAATTCGGTTGTGGTGTGCCGAAACTGATGTTCGGGTAGGCCTGTAAAAAGAGGGACCACCAGTTTAAATGGATAATAAATGGAGCTGTGGGTGGGGTGAATCAGAGAGTCTCAGCCCAGAGGAAGGGGCAGCATTTCCCTCTATAGGAAAGTGTCACGCTTCGTTATACACATATATGAAAAATATATGACACCGGCAGTTTTTTACCTCAAATTTGAAATCCTAAATTTAAAAAACGCAGCATTTTCTAAGACTTAACAATTAATCTTCCAACATTTAATGCTAAAATTGCAGATTAAAAAAAGATAACCAACTCAACTTACTTAGGATAAAGCTACGACCATAAATAGAGAGGAATGCAGTCAACAACATGATAGTATAAGGTAGCTAGATCACATTTTGTACACCTTGTTTATATTATAACTTCTATTTTTTTATGTTTTGTTTTTAGGCTTATGGAAAGGTTAGTGAATGAGCCACAATGTTATGTTGCTGTTGGTAATGTCCTTTTTACATGACTGAATACAATATATCTTTAGATGCGTGTCCCTGGTGACCCTTGCCTCCGTGCCCACTGAGAAATTGTGTCTTGACTATTGATTATTTGATTTGAATTTTTGTAATGTAGGTAACTTGATTTACTTATGTAGAATGGAATATTTACTAAGGCACTCTTAATGAAGATGCAGTAATAACATTTTTGTTTTCACATTCCACAGGGTAATTCAGGATTGGGTTTTAGTATTGCTGGAGGCATAGATAATCCACACGTGGGAGATGACCCGGGAATATTTATTACAAAGATTATACCAGGAGGAGCAGCAGCTGAAGATGGTCGACTCCGGTAAGAGGCTATAAGTTTGAATGCATATTTTAAGCATTATAACAACTGTGTTTTCTTTTAGGGATTACATTGCAAGGAATTTTAGGGTGCAGTCTCTTCTCTCTCCCTCCACGCTAATGAGTCACAAAGTTGACTAATAGGCAATGATAGGCTGTGAGTGTTCAGGATGGCTTAGTCTATTACTTGCAACCTATTCAGATCTGGAAAGATTGGTACCGATGGAAGTGAAATATCTACATTATTATAGGGGCAGCAGGGGAGCCTTATACAGCTTTCTCTTCCTTTGAAATTGCTTTATGGAGGGACTGCATACGACTCCAACATTCAAAAGGTCGACCACAAAAGTTTACATTTTGCTTTATTTGTCCATAGATTGTATGGCTAGGCAGAAATGACATCATTGGTTATGGGAATTAAATATATTAAAAAACCAAACACCACCAGGGTGAAGTCCAAATCCAAGACCACATTCTTTCATCAAAGACTTAAAGAAAAACTCCAGACTCCTAAAGCACTTCAGCAAGCTGAAGTGCTTCATTTTTGAAGAATCTGTCCTCTATTTTAATAATACAAAATGTACAGATTTCAATATAAATTGGCATTTTTTTAAATTAACCCTGCTAATCCCCCCAAGCTGCATTCAGACATATGATAACATTATACAAATATATTCGGGGCCAGTACAAACCATTATCTGGAAATCTATTCATAAACAGGACACAAGGTTATGCATTTAGACTGGAAGAAAGGAGATTTTATCTAAGTCAAAGAAAAAATTGTTTACAGGAAAAACTAAAAGAATATGGGATTCTCTGCCTGAAGAGGTGGTTTTATTAGAGTCCTTAAAGACGTTTAAACAGCAATTGGATAAATACTTCCAAAAACAGAACATACAGGGATATAATGTCTAATTAGTGGGGTAATAGCTGCTTGATCCAAGGAAACATCTGACTGCTATTTTGAGATCAAGAAGGATTTTTTTCTTTGTCAGTTCAAAGTTGGAAGCGCTTCAGACTGGGTTTTTTGCCTTCTTTTGGATCAACAGTAATAACATATGTGAGGTAGGCTGAAATTGATGGGCGCAAGTCTCTTTTCAGCTATGTAACTATGTAACCTGGGGCTTCATCCCTAGTCAGCCCTCTCCTAAGAACACCTCTGATAATAAGGAATTTTGATGGACACCTCTTTTCAGAGGAATAGGAAGTAGTTATAGTAGATTTGAGTCAGCCATAGAAAGTTTGGGGGAACCATAAAATGAGTAAATATTTGTAGGGATGTAAGTTGATCAGCTAGTTTATAAAGTTCCCTGTAGAAGTAATTTTTTTTAGGAATTTTCTAAAGATCTGGGCATTAATGGATTGTCTTATTGAGTGATATTACATTTTTACTTATTTTTGTAATTTGAATAGCATCAGATGTGATCATTTATTCATCAGAGTAACAAATTAATACCTGACACTGCAAACAAATGTAAAATAAATGCAAAAAAAATTCTAAAATCCATTAATATGCATTTATCTTGCCAAGGAAATGAATCTAGGTTAGATAATTACGTTTAAGTACATGTGGAAGCTTGATTAACTTTCTTTTAGATGATTTAAATAATATGGCAAAGGAAAACCTAATCACAAATGTTTCATTCTTTGGACAAATGTTAGATAATTTACAGTTATCGCTTTACATATTTGACTAACATTGTGCCAATGAATATAATTTGCAGGATTACATAAAACATGTTTTTCAGATATCATTGTAATAAAATGCTTGATATTTCAGAGAACAAGTTAGACAGTTAGGTATTATATTATGAAAATTATCAGGGATTACCTCTGTAAATCGTTTAGAAAAGAGATGGTACTTATGAATGACTTAAGTGAGGAGGATTACATTTTTTTATTTTTTTTTCCGAATAAAAAATGAAACAAATTAAGAATGTGGAATTTACAGATTCATGTTAGTCATAAAACAAGGTATATCATGAAAAGACTACCATATACACAAAACTACAAATACAACATCCAAGCATGGGCTTAGCAGCCATACATGCACATTATTGAGAAGCTAATGTGTCGGAAACAAGAGTATATCCATTGTCTGACCAAAAGTGAGCATCAAAGTGCAAACCTAGAATGAATAAGAAAGTCTAGAACATTACTGCAAACAGGAAAAATGCAGGAACAAAGCTCGCTAGCAGGGTTAGAAAATAGTGGAACTGGAAGATACTCTAAGTCAGCTATGCTTTCAGTTTGGCTACTCTAGTCTTAAATATTCACTCTGGTCACTATAACATCTTCACCAATATTAAGTTGTTATGGTGCCAGGAGGCCCCCAGGCATACTCTTATCTTAAGAGGTTAAAGCGTTCTCAATGGGTTTAACCCCAAGAGTTGCCTCCAGCGCCGATCTCTAGGTCTTCCAGACGGCATCTGTCTTCTGAATCTCAGTTACAGGAAGTGCGGAGTGACATCTTGCAGGGGCCCTGCTGATTGGGAGTGGTCAGCTGAGGATCTAAGCCAATCAGTAGCTTCCGACTGATAAAAAATAAAAATACCATTGTTTGTTCTTCTCATGCACAAGCACTTTGCATATTTCAAGGTATTGGTTAATTATTTGAAAAGTGTTTTCTATGGTTTATCAATAACATTTTGGTGCTAAAAGTGTAAGGTGGTGCCATTAATGTATAGATATATCTTCTTCGGCAGTATGGTAGTTGATTAACTTTGAATATATAACGCAACTTGTAGGAAAACGTTGTTGTTGATGAAAAAGACTAAACTTGTGTAAGATGAAAAAAATCAATTCATCCAAATCAATTCATCTGAAAAAAAAATAAAAAATAATACTATTAGGGTTTCATCTATGTGGTGTTTGCGTGTGAACAAATATCATCCATGCAGTCATTTTAGGAAAATTGATTCAGTTGAAACAAAATGGCACAAAAAAGCACCTACTAGTGTACTGCAAAAACATATATAATACCAATATTATGTACATATTTTGCTGTGCACTGGTGAATTTTTGTGCCATTTAGTTCACAGGTCGAATAGGAGGAGCAGTAAATAATGAAATCATTTCTCATTTAATTATTTGGTCATGTGGAGATTTGGGTTTAGGAAATTCAAACAAATTCATTTGAAACTGAAATGCACAAGTCTAAAAAATACGAGAAGGGTTGAATTGTGATGGCATTAACATTGTTAATAACTCCTTGGCAGTGAGTAACATGTTGATAATTAGCTATCGTTGGTTTGTGATCAAAGATATATTTAGCTAAATTAGTTATAGTTGGAGTAACTATCCGATCACATATTCCAGGTAAAAAGTAACGAGTCATTAGAATGATTCTATGATCATTCGTCATAGGATCACTGAATCAAATAAATTATTCATAAAATAAAAACATATATTTTAAAGGAAAAATAAAAAAGCAATAAACACAAAATGTTACTGCTTTTACTGAGAATCCAGTTTATCATTCAATTTTGTTGTTATTGTTTTCTATAGCATATTTTTTATTATATTCAGTAAGAAGAGGAAAAAGATCAAGATTCTTTTTTTCACTTTGCTGTGAATGGTAATAACAAGGACATTTTCTTGAGCATTGCCTGTGACAATTATATGCTTTTTTTTCTATGAAGAATAACGTATAATGACATAATCCATTTGTACATAGAGGTATATAAAAGCCTCTTGCTAATCAGTTTCTCTTTTGTTGGATCAAATTAAATACATACTATTTTCATAACAACATACACATTTTACAAAGATTTGACATGCTTACAATATTTATTTGTGTATTGAAATCTTCATCTTTTGATTGAATGTCAGTGTATGTCACAAAGTATTAAATTAGCATTTTTAGCAAGTATGAGTCACACAAATAAAGGAATTTGAGTCAGTAAACAGAATGGACAATAAAAGAGACGATACTCTGAAAATGCTCAGCTGTGTCTGAGTTCTGGTGAAGTTCGATAGCCACATGTGTTCACACTACATTAGTATCACAGGCTGCCGTCAGCTATGAGATATTTGTCCTCAAATATTTCAGTTAACTGACTCATGTTCTGAGATAGGTCAGCGATTTCTATAAACTAAAAACATGTTCACTCTATTAATGAACAAACTTCCAAATGGTGTTTTAACATTGTATATTTTTGTATATATTTCCCATTATGATAAAACATCAATCCAATTGCCCCCCACAACAAGGACAGAAGGTGCCTTTAGCAAGTGTGTTAAAAAAGGATACGCTTAGAGTCATGTCTACAAATGCTCGCAGTTTAGGGAATAAGATCCATGAACTTGTGGCAATAATGGCAACTGATAATGTAGATTTAGTCACTGTTACTGAGACATGGTATAATGGAAAAATTGACTGGGACATAGCAATACCAGGGTATTGTAACCGCGGCTGGTTCCCTTATTTACCCCTATAACGTCTTAAAGCATAGAACTTAGTAGGGCTAACCATACAGATATTTTAGCCATAATTTTATATAGTTAGTGTAAGAGATCCTCTATTTAACATATATGAATGATTGAGAATACAATATAAAATAAGGATTGTCTTGGAAGCAATGAAGTTTTGTCTTTTTAGAAATGTATTATATACATTTATAAATATAGACATATAAAATCCATTACATTACAGCAGAGTTTATAAGATTAAACTAAATGCTTGCAAATATCATTAATAGGTTAACATACCCTTCTGAACATGTCATCATGTTAGCCTCTCTGTCATTTTAAGATGGAGCAGCGTCTGTCTCCAAGTCTCTCCTCAGTCCTTAACATTTAAACGTACACCTATTTATACCTTAGGTGTCGTCATTTTAGGGTCACCGTAGTTCATATATGAAAAAGTAACCTTTTTTACTTTATTCATTTTAGGACCTCCCTTGGCAAAAATATAAGTCCATAACTAAAGGGTGTATATGTCATGGAAATTTTCCTGACTTAGGTCAAGATGGCATCTTAAAGTCTGAACATCCTTATCTACTTAAGG